ATTCATCCCCCATAGTAATTCATCCCCCATATAGTAATTCATCCCCCATAGTAATTCATCCCCCATAGTAATTCATCCCCCATATAGTAATTCATCCCCCATAGTAATTCATCCCCCATATAGTAATTCATCCCCCTTAGTAATTCATCCCCCATATAGTAATTCATCCCCCATAGTAATTCATCCCCCATATAGTAATTCATCCCCCATAGTAATTCATCCCCCATATAGTAATTCATCCCCCATAGTAATTCATCCCCCATATAGTAATTCATCCCCCATATAGTAATTCATCCCCCATATAGTAATTAATCCCCCATATAGTAATTCATCCCCCATAGTAATTCATCCCCCATATAGTAATTCATCCCCCATAGTAATTCATCCCCCATAGTAATTCATCCCCCATATAGTAATTCATCCCCCATATAGTAATTCATCCCCCATAGTAATTCATCCCCCATATAGTAATTCATCCCCCATAGTAATTCATCCCCCATAGTAATTAATCCCCCATATAGTAATTCATCCCCCATATAGTAATTCATCCCCCATATAGTAATTCATCCCCCATATAGTAATTCATTCCCCATATAGTAATTCATCCCCCATATAGTAATTCATTCCCCATATTGTGTCAATTCACTTACCTTTGCTCCGCGCGTTCCTCTCGCCGTGTTCCCGCACCGTTCCGGTCTTCAGGGCGGACTGTGAGAGGAGAGGAGTTCGTCACGCTGCCCCGCCTACATCCTGACAGCCAATGTTTGCCACGCTCCGCGGGATTAAAAGGTCCGCCGGGCCGTATACGGCCCGCGGGCCGTAGTTTACCCATTGCTGGGCTAGCTGCAGAGTCCTGACTTTTGGGGCGGCCCGCCCGAGAGGAGGGAGGGGAGCGGGTGCCCGGCACACAGAAGAGCCGCATTAAAATGTGTAAAGAGCCGCATGTGGCTCGCGAGCCGCGGCTTGCCGACCACTGACCTAAGTAAACCAAAACAACTCACACCCTATAGCATAAAGTCTCACTTTCACCCTTGAAAGTGTAATCTGTATATATCTCTTCAATATGCTACCCCTTATCAGAAAAATCACCAATTGTGAAAACAATCATAAAAATATAATTTCATAAAGTTATCCAAAAACTAAGCAAATCGTGTCCAAAATTAAGATCAATCCTGATACTGAACAAAAATTACGCACTCGTGTCCAAAAATAAAGTCATATAAGTAGTGATTCCAATATAAATTCTGGTGAATGAGCCTTCCAGCCGGCTCCAACGAACAACGTGAACCTCAAAAAAAAAGAAAATTTACAGAGTGCGTTATCCTTATACAAACCAAAAAATATAAATGATACACTATGTAATATCAATCACACCTGACCACTTAAGTGAATAAGTGAACTTGTGTATCAACTGTGATGGTGAATCACTCTAGTGCAAAATCATCAAGTGTCAATAACCGTGTACACTTCTATTTTGTAAGGAGTAAATACCCTTACCAAAAGGACTTAGTATTCACTTAGTATCCCTTGAAATTCAATGAAGAATATTGTACTGAAAAATTTTAAAAAAGAAGAGAATGTGTAACAATCCATAACTCTATGCAAATCTGTTCAGCACTAATCACATATTTATTGCATATTTAATCGTTTATAAGACATTCAAAATTTGTATATTGCAAGTTACAATATGTTTGACATACAATGCAAATGTCTTCTGTTAATAAGAATTAACAAAAAAGCAATAAATATATCTAAATTGTTGAGACACTTCAGTAGGAAAAAAAAAAAGGTATTTCCCTCGCATCTCTGACTGAAGCCTGGGACTGAACCACATGGAAGGAGGCAGAGTACATTGCCGCCTGGTATATTAAACACTGTAAACAACAGGCTTTTTACAACTGGAAAATGTGAAAAAAAACTTTAAAAGAAGTACAAAATATTCAAAGGGGACCTAAGTGAAGTGGGATCAGGGATGGAAGGGAAAAAACTAAAAACATTCTGCATCCACATATAACTTAAGGTTTCCACAAGAATATGGATCTATTCTTGACCTTAATACTTATATGTTTCACCTCCTTCATTACAAGGCCATTTTTCAGTTTTCAGCCTTGTGAGAGTTTCACAAGCAACTACTCAAACATAGCCAAGCAGTTTCACTGACAACTAGAGGACAATGGCCTCTTCCCACTACCGTGATCCAGTGGTCATGGGGTTTTGAGTAGGGGCCTTATTGAAATCTTGAAACCCATTAATAAGAAGGAAGTACCCAGATACTAACCCCCCCCATGTGAATAAATAAGGGGTACATATTACCCTACTCATTCTCAAAAAAAGTCTCTGCCCCCCAAAGCACTCTGTCACCATGTTTATGGGGACAAGGGCCTCTTCCCCACAATCATGGCCGGTGGTTGTGGGGAAACTGGAAGCCCCTTTAATAAGGGGGCCCACAGATCCTGGCCCACCTATGTGAATGAGTATGGGGTACATGGTTCCCCTACTCATTCACCAAAAAAAAGTGTACTGTAAAAAAAACAGGAGGCGGTACTTCCCTCCTGGCGACATCATTGGGTGGCCCTGCTCCATAGTTATTTAAGAACTGTCAAGCGGTGGAACTGTCAGATGGTGGGACCCTTTGTCGGGTGCGGAGCCTCTTTTATTTTTTTGGGTCAGCAGTGGTGGTGGGCATCCCGATTGAAGATGGGTCTATACACTTTTTTTATTTTTGTTTTTTTTAATAGAGGAAAAACTGCCTACTGTGTTATTTTACACTACACTTTGGTGAATGAGTAGAGGCACTATGTACCCCATACTCATTCACATGGGGGTCTGGGATCTGCGGGCCCACTTATTAAAGGGGGCTTCCAGATTCTGGTAAGCCCCCCTGCCTGCAGACCCCCAAAACCACCAGCCAGGATTGTGAGGCAGAGGCCCTTGTCCCCATCAACATGCCCTGCCCCAAAGAAACCCCTCATGTTGAAGGCATTTGGTCTGATATGCTTCAGGAGGGGGGACACTTGCCCATCCCCCCCATGCTAACCTGACGGGCTACATGTTTGGGTAAGGGTCTGGTATGGATTTTGGGGGTGACTAAAAACATTTTTTTTTATCTTGGCATAAGGGTTCTCCTCAAAATCCATACCAAACCTGAAAGACCTGGTAGGATTGGGGGGGGGGGCGCCACATAATTTTTTTCTTAAGTTTTAATTGCCGGCAATTCTTTTTTTTTGCATTCAACTGATAACTCGTTACATTACCGCTTGTTTTCACCACTAAAATACAGCATGACTTCATAAAATAACTCGTGGTATTTTAGTAGCGTTTTTTAGTGAATGCCAATAATTTTTTTGAAAAACGCTGTACAGTATCTTATCGCATACCTGGATGCAGTAAGATACTGCTTTGTGAATTGTCCCCAGAATCTGATGCAGATGTGCATGGTAGCCAATCAGCTTCTAACTAGCTTCAGTTTGTTCAATTAGGCTTTGTCAATAAAACCTGGAAGCTGATTGCTTTCTATACAAAATTGTACCTGATTTTGCACTTTTCAGTTTAAATAAATAACTCTCAATGTGTGTATCTTTTGTAAACAGCCCATAAAAATATGGCTCATTTTGTAGAAAATTTGGCAAATGCAAAATAAGTAATTTTTTAGCAAACATCTCAGGAAAACTCCCCTACCTATATCTAGAAGAGCACGTTTAATGTTTTAAAACTAAATGAAAAAGTGAATGAAAAATGAATTTTTACTATATGTGGGAACACATTCTGTGCGGGCAGCACATCGCTGTATAATCATATTAACACCATATTGCGCTGAGGTTTTTTCTATACAGTTTTAAAACAAATTTTTTCAAAAATCCTTTCAAAAATTATTGCAGAAAGAGTATTGTAGGTGTAATATTGCCTAGATAGCTTTATGTGGGGCAGCACAGTGGCTAAATGGTTAGCACTTCTGCCTGGCAGCACTAGGGTCGCTGGTTCGAATCCCAACCCCAGAATCACCTGCCTGGAGTTTGCATGTTCTCCCTGTGCCTGCATGGGTTTCCTCCAGGTACTCCGGTTTCCTCCCACACTCCAAAGACATGCTGGTAGGTTAATTGGCTCCTGTCTAAATTGTCCCTAGTATGTGTATGTATGAATGTGAGTTAGGGACCTTAGATTGTACACCCCTTGAGGGTTAGGGACTGAGGTGAATGTACTATACATATGTAAAAGCACTGCGTAAATTGACTGCGCTATATAAGTACCTGAAATAAATAAATGTGCTTGAACACAGACATTTCCTTCTGCTGGTAACTAAACTGTTTGGATTGTTTTTCAAGGCTAAATGGAAAAACCTTATAGATTCCTCTATCCACACTATAAAGTGCCAATAGATGAATCCCCCTGCCAGCAGCTGTCAGACTACCATGACTGGATGCAGCCACTATTCAGACAATTGTCCACCCAGCACCTTCAATTCTTCAATCAATGGATTTAGGAGTGGTAAAGTTACCCACAAAGTTCATCAGGAGCTTTCTATGGTGTATGCTCAGCTTAAAGCCCCGAACACGTGCAGAATATTGGGATTTAATGGCCGGTTCAACAGAAACAGGCTGACATTAGGCCCGTGCGTAAGGCAGCCGGTCCGACAGAAGCCGGACGTTCATCCAGCTTCTTTCAAAGTGGCATGACTGAAAAAGATCTGCCGAATGGCTTCCGATCAGCACTCTCAGCCAAAAGTTGAGATAGCTGGCCGGATTGTTCTGTCAGAACACGATAGCACAGCGGTGGGGATTGCTGTACTAATACTGTTTGTATTAGTACAGCGATCTTTCAGTTTTTTTTTTCATTCAGCCTGCTGGGTTAAATGAAAAAAAAAAAAAAAACTGATAGTGTGCATAGGGCACAAGTCTTTACTGCATGTGGTTTTCTTGTTATTGACAAGGATACTGCCACAGAGAAAACAAAATACAGTGGACATATGCTCAAATTCTGAGTACTCTAAGGGAAATATCTTGCTACAACCAAGCCAGCAGTTTTCTCAAAGAACACTTTAGTTCGCTGTTGCGTAGACTGTATATCAAAGGATTCAATGCCGGAGTCACTGTTGTGTAGAACACTGTTAAGATGTGTTCCAATGCGTTGTAATGTTCTAACGGTGGTGTCATATACACAGATATACCAGATCCATAATAGATGACTATGATGATGAGGTGGGACGAACAGGTAGAAAAGGCTTTACTTCGACCAGTGTTAGACTTTATATGTAGTATGACCCTAATAATCTGTACATAAGACATCAAGCTGCACGCAGAAGGACCAAGTCCAAAAACCAAACAATTTGCATACACAAGAATATAAAACATATCTCTGCCGCCACAGGAAATATTGTACAGAGCTTTGGCATCACAGAAAAACTGGTGAATGGTGGTGGTAGAGCAGAAGAACATTTTTATGGTGCAATTCACCATTAGGATTGCATTTACACTTGCAGAAATCCAGATGATAATCGTTAATAATATGCATATTTTCTTGTTAAGTTTATGGTGGTAGTACAAAGGGTGACAAATTGCGACATATCGGTCATATGCCATTATAAAAATAACCATGTCCTCACTGGTGCTTGCCATGAAGACAAAATATGCCTGGATGAAACATTGCTCAAAGGACATGATATTATCCTCAGTCAATAAGATGTAGAGGAGTTTTGGAACAGTGACAGTTGTATAACACATATCAACCACAGATAAATTACATAGAAAAAGATACATCGGGGTGTGTAAATGTGTAATGTGTAAAACATCCAAAGATATTACAATGATGATTATGATGTTCACAGTTATTCCAATGTAACAGATGAAAAAAAATAAGACAATGCTGGATATGAATGTTTATGAATGTTTATTGTCCGCATTCATGAAGAATGGTAAAATATTAAATGCTAGAATCAATGTATTGTTTTCCATGGATTATATGTACTATTCTGTGATGCAAATTTTATTTATTAATAAATAATAATAATTATGACAACAACAATAATTGATTATATTAATGCTGATTACTATGAAACAGAATTTCAATAATACACGACTATGAAATTAGCTACTTAACTGTATGAGAAAATAATTTAATATTTAAATTCTTTAAGCACTCTGACCCACATGGTGTGAAGATGTCCTAAACTTCATAGATATTGGAAAGGGGTTCTGACTACTATAAAATCAGTTTTGCAGGTTACTTTAGCAGAAGATCCAGGGATATGTTTATTGAATATGGTGGACAAGGCTTCTTTACCAGAAAATACATACAGAGGCATCCCTAGGGTTGGTGTCACCCAGTGCGGTAACACTTCGTGACACCCCCTCCGACGATCCCCGCAGAATGGATCGGATCTGCGGATTGAACATAATGGATTGGATCTGCAGATTGAGCATAATGGATAAGACTCCGATCCATTATGCTCAATCCGCAGATCCGATCCATCCTGCGGAGATCGTCGGCTTTCTTTACAACTTACCTTTTCTTGGAGCGGGTCCGGTGTCACCCCATATAGATTGCATGCCGATGATCCTTGCAAGATCGTCAGCATGCAACCTATACGGAGTGGCACCGGACCGCTCCAAGAAAAGGTAAGTTGTAAAGAAAGCCGACGATCAGTAGGGGGCCCCATGAGATGCCCCTGGTACCTTTTTCATAGGCTTTTTTGAGTTTGGGCAAGGACACAGGGGCCCCATGATCCCCTATTGCCCAGGGGCCCCATGATTTGTCAGTCAGCCCCTGCTTCCATCTTGTTCCTGGAACAAAATTGAGTGGGGCTGAGTGCTGCACAGCCATCCACAGGAAGCCTTGTGATTATATGAATGAATGCAAGGCATCCTTTAACTGGCTGAAGTGGAGATGTGGGCAAATGTATTTATTTATTTCAGGTACTTATATATCACCGTCAATTTACGCAGCACTTTACATATATATTGTACATTCACATCAATCCCTAACCCTCAAGGGGCGTACAATCTAAAGTCCCTAATTCCCATTCATACATACACATACTAGGGCCAATATAGACAGGGGCCAATTAACCTACCAGCATGTCTGTGGTGTTTACGAGGAAACCAGAGAACCCGGAGGAAACCCACGGAGGCACAGGGAGAACATGCAAACTCCAAGCAGGTGGTGCCGTGGTTGAGATCTGAACCAATGACCCTAGTACTGCCAGGCAGAAGTGCTAACCATTTAGCTACTGTGCTGCCCCAGGAGTGGCTAATGCTGTCCAATCTCCACCTCCACGCCAATCAGAAGAAGACTTGTATTCACTGATAAAATGCAAGACTTCCTGTAAATGGCTGAACAGCACTCAACCTGACTTGATTTAATTTCAGAAACAATACAGTTTATACATACTCTTAAATGACTTTTAGTGAACACAAACACAATAGAATACCAAATTTTGTAAAACATAAAAGATGATGTTGTGCCGAGTAAATGGATACCAAGCATGTCATGCTTTAAAGTTGTAGAATGGCAGTAAACTACAGTATCAAAAAAAATCTCCATAGGTGATTCTTTAAAAGCCTTTACTGGTTAACAGTTTAAAGTAACATAGGAGGTCTGGTGCTAGATTTATTGCTCTCACTCTGACATCTACAGGGATACCTCACACGTGTGGTGCGATCATAGTTTACATATGCATGCAGGACCTATGCCTATTATTTATTTATTTATTACACTGTAGCTTTTATTTTTTTTGTAAACTTTATTGCTATAACAAGGGATGAACAACATCTTTTGTGATAGCATTGGCTGTGACAGGTCCTCTGTATGACCCCAGGTCCTCCATTAAACCCCAGATCTCTCCTCTGGCCTCCAAAACATCTGATTAAACTGAGATCAGTTTGATCAAATGTTCTCACAAGCCAGTAATGTCTTGTTTACATCAGACTGCACCCGGAAATGACAAAATCCTTGTCACTTCCAGTTTCTGACATCACGCAGTAGGAGTACAACATCAGTTTCTCTCGCTGTGTCTGGGGAAGCCGATGCTCCTTGTAGCATCCGTACTATGCTCCCCGATGGGACAGGCGTTGGCTGGAAGGGGATTCCCTTCCACGCCTGTAAAAGTGATCCAGTGGTTGTATAGCCACTCAAATCACTTTTACGTCAAAGAGAATCACTTGCTGAAATGAATATTACCAGGATCATAAGTATAGTCATGATTCTGGTATAACCACTTCAACTGTAGGCCATTTATAGAAGGCCTATAAAAGGCCTAAGGCAGTGGTGGGAAACCTTTTTTTTCAACTGAGCCAAATCTCGCCAAAACCACAATTGAAATTTATTTTGAGAGCCACATTTTAAAACTGAAAATACATCCCCCATATAGTAATTCATCCCCCATAGTAATTCATCCCCCATAGTAATTCATCCCCCATATAGTAATTCATCCCCCATAGTAATTCATCCCCCATATAGTAATTCATCCCCCATAGTAATTCATCCCCCATAGTAATTCATCCCCCATATAGTAATTCATCCCCCATATAGTAATTCATCCCCCATAGTAATTCGTCCCCCATATAGTAATTCATCCCCCCTATAGTAATTCATCCCCCCTATAGTAATTCATTCCCCATATTGTGTCAATTCACTTACCTTTGCTCCGCGCGTTCCTCTCGCCGTGTTCCCGCGCCGTTCCGGTCTTCAGGGCGGACTGTGAGAGGAGAGAAGTTTGTCACGCTGCCCCGCCTACATCCTGACAGCCAATGTTTGCCACGCTCCGCGGGCCGGATTAAAAGGTCCGCCGGGCCGTAGTTTGCCCATTGCTGGGCTAGCTGCAGAGTCCTGACTTTTGGGGCGGCCGCCCGAGAGGAGGGAGGGGAGCGGGCGCCCGGCACACAGAAGAGCCGCATTAAAATGTGTAAAGAGCCGCGGCTTGCCGACCACTGAGCTACGACAACCCTATTGCCTGTCACCTGGTGGGCAGTGTGCTCCGGAGCCGCAGCAAAGGTGAAAAAGAGTCGCATGCGGCTCTGGAGCCGCGGGTTGCCGACACCCGGCCTAAGGGATGGGAAGTGTAGAAGTGTAAAATGAACACAAAGCCTGGACTTAGGCCTTAAAATGACCACCAGGCAAATAACTCTTTCAAACTGAAAGGTCAACAATGAAAGATGGTCTTAGAACAGGCTTTATACATTTGGCACTTTTACAGTGCCAGCTTTTTAAATTTGTAATTGTTTCAAAATTTCAGTTTATTGTACAAGCCTAGTGAAAGTTATCTTGATAGGAATCTTATTATTATTATTATACAGGATTTATAGTGACAACAGTTTGCGCAGCGCTTTACAAAATAAAGGTAGACATTACAGTTACAATACAATTTGGTACAAGAGGAAACAGAGGGCCCGGCTCATTAGAACTTACAATCTAAGGGTCAGTCTTGACGGCAGTACTGGGACAGGGTCATCTAGAGCCCAGGGCAAGGATCAAGAATTGCACCCCCCTCCCCCACTGTTAAGACATGTCTTAGAATGGGTGTACCACCCTGTGACCAGGGGCGGACTGACAACTCATGGGGTAGGGGATCATGGGACCCCTGTGTCCTCGCCCCCACACCCAAAAAAGCCTATGAAAAAGCCATTGAAAGGTATCAGGGGCATCTCATGGGGCCCCCTACTGACCCCGGGCCCTCGGGCAGTGCCCGAGTGCTCAAATGGTCAGTCCGCCCCTGCCTGTGTCTGTTCTTTGCCCCCTTGCTAGTCTATGCCTGGGACATCTAACCCCCCCGCTCACCCCTTGTCCTGGCCCTGGATGACAGGCTTTTGTTTACTGTAGAACTGCTTCTCTCCAGATATGGAAATACAAAAAGCAGCTACAGAAGATCAAATGTAAGTCAACTGTACCTGCAATGAATTGTAAATGATCTCAACAGCAATTGATGACAAAAGCATGCTCCATTCACCCATCAACGCCTCTGGACACTGGCCCTAAGGCTGACCACACACATATTAATCTCATTGTACAATTGTCATTATATCTACCTATACCTACCTTTGTAATGTGAGGAATTATTCAACTGTATACCTGGAATGGACTTATTAGATCAGGGGTGTCCAAACTTTTTTCAAAGAGGGCCAGATTGGATGAAGTGAACTTGGTGGAGGGCCGAACATTTTTCCGAACATTCTTTGAACCATTACAATTAAATGCAAATAAATTATTGTATGCCAAGTTAATTGCAAACGACATACTTTTCATTTCATAACATTAAGATTAACTGACAGCTGAGTTTTCACAATGTATTGAAAATAAATTAAAAAAAACTTACCTGCACTAATGTGAAGGGTGAAAAAGGTAGCTGGAGCTGAAGTCTCTGCTCGGCAGCCGGGAGGGGAAGAGAAACACACTTCACGCTGGAAGCCCGGCCCTGACGTCACCGCCCTCTGTCGCTCCCAGCGCGGTGCAGACACGCATGCGCACTGCTCTCAAGCAGAAGACTGTCTGCCACAGAAGGGAGGGCCGTGCGACAGCCACATTTACACAGACCAGTGAGAACGCGCCGCAGTCAGGCATGCGCACTGCCCTCTGCTCTCAAGCAGAAGACTGTCTGCCATAGAAGGGAGGGTCGTGGGAGGGCCACATTACACAGAGCAGGGAGGGCTGTTGGAGGGCCGTATTAAACCGACCCCCGGGCCGTAAATGGCCCGCGGGCCGGACTTTGGACATGCCTGTATTAGACCCTCTTACTACTCATTTGTTGTTTAATATAGTGAATATT